CAAGGTCTCGACCATCTTAACATACAGAATTTAGACATGACTTAACATGCACTTTAGGACCTGAGGATATACCAAACACATATTGAACATGAAAGGCCGCGGCGAATGCCCGTGCGCCGCCGACGGTTATACGCCGTCTCTCGACCGAAATACCCCTTTCTCCGGCAACCTCCGAACAATCAAGGTCTGAATCATTATTTAAAACAATTTAAAGCCTATCCACATGAACAGAACATGCGGATAACTGAAAGCGCAAGATACGGCCCGAAGCCACCCGAGGCCACGCGATGGGCGTTGGCTACGGTTTGGACCGTTTCCTTGGCAATACTTCACTTAACCTCGACAATTCTGAACTGATTAAACATAAAATAGGCTGAACTGGATATATAGATATAAACAGGTCGAGAGTTGCCGGGAAAAATCAGACTTTGCTCGGTTATAACTTTACTCAATTACGTTCGGCTTTTACATGATTTTATTCAAAATTCTCGCATTTAATCCGAACGTTTAACGCTGAAATGACTTAATCACTATGAACATGAACTGAGGAGAAGTTTACCTCACCAATCGCTCGACGGAAATCCGAAACTAAACGTGGCTTCCTTCCTCGCGTGACTCCGTGCGGTATACTCAATTTGCCGTGTGATCGCTTCTCGTATGGCCGTGCGTTTGGAATGGAACTTTTGGGAGATTTTCTTGAACTTATTTGCTGTTGAAGTAGGCTACTATATGCTGAAGAGGATGTTCAGATCTTAAGGGAAAAAGTGACGAAAATTGGTCTAAGTCATCCCCTTTATACAAAACCGTGAGGATGGGTGATGATGATGGTGTTATGTGGCTTATTAAGAGCTTAACACTTGTTAATCTCCCAACTTATGCTTGATGACTAATCCACTCCTATTAATCTCCTTAAGCCACGTCTCATGCTCAAAGTTGAGAAGGAAAATTGGTTTCCTTAGCTTTAAGAAAAGCTACGGCCTTACTAAAAAAATTTGGAAGAATTGACATTATACTTAAAGCATTAAGGCTTAATTATGTGATTAATTCAATAATTAATCACTACTTATGTTTAATTATCCAATTAAACATAATACTTAATTACCAAAATTATTTCGGACGTAAACGGTACGTCGAAAATCAATTTCGGTAATTCCGACTGAACTTAATTAATTCCAAAAATAATAAACGCTAACATTATTATATCGGAATTAGACGTAATTCATACCGATTAAAATATCGGGATATTACAAACCTTACCTCTGCCGCTAATTCTGTTTCAGCCCTCCCACAAACGCTCCTACTAGCGCACTCTCGGGCCAGTCCCACAACCTACTAGCAATGCGCTCAAACTCCTTCTGGTACTCCCGCAAACTTCCCACTTGTTTAATTCGAGACAAAGCTTCATCATAATCAAAGTAATCACTCGAACCAAACCTCGTGATGAGTTCCCTCTCAAAGGCTCTCCAACGCATGTGCTCGCCATGATTTTTGTGCAGGATCCATTGCCACCATATGTTTGCTTCTCCACCAAGGTGATAAGCAGCAATTTAAACTCTTTCATACCTTGGTACTTCGTTAATCTCAAAGTATTGTGTTGCCCGGCTCAACCATGCATCTGGATCTACTCCTGTGAACGTGGGCTTAATGATCTTGGGTCGCGTATATGCCCGTTCTTCCCGTCGTTGGCTGCGGTAGTGATCGTCGTGATCGTGACGTCGTGCACATCTCCTGTGTTGTCGTTTGTTGCGCCTTTGGTCATCGCGGTAGTAGCGCCGCTCGTCGTGCGCGCGCGATGCGTGCGTTGCGCATGTATGGTACGACGCCTGCGATCGCCGATCGTCCTCATATTCGGTCCCCACGCTGCTCGACGTCGTGGTGGATCGTGCCTCGCGACTCCGCCATGGTCGGTGTGTCATGCGTTCGAGCTGCCCGGCCAGATCATGGACCATAAGCTCGATCCTTCCCATGTTCTCGTTGGTGGCATGTTGACCATCACCAATGATCTTCAAATTATTGTCCAACGCTTGGATCCTTTCACGGTTTGACATCATGAATCTCTCTTTTTTTTTTGACTCTCTCGAAAATCGAACCAACTAGAAAAATATATATTTCTTTTAAGACTCTTGAAAAATAACAAAAGACTAGATGACACTTTTTTTTTTACTCAACACTCAAATTTTCGAAAAACTGAGAGAAAAAGAAGCAAAAATTTCGAACCAAAAAATTTGAAAAAACAAAGAGAAATTCGGCCCCTCAACAAAAGGTAATAACCAAAATAAAAAAGATAGATAAACAATAACCTAGATCTTCACTCTTCAATGAAATCCTCTCAATGAAATCCTCTCAATGAAGCACCAATGATAAGCGAACGGAGAGTGTTGATCGCGGTTGTTGCCTATTCGGTTGTATGTAATCGCGCACTCGGCCTTCATCTACACACGATAGATGTGACTAATAGACGCACTACGAACTTCTCTTAGACACCGTGACTTCAAGACGGACTAATGACCTTCTTTCCGACACTTGTATGTAAACACGCACTACGGCCTTGTTTAAACACACGTAAGAACACCAAGTTCCCCCTTTTGATTTCACTCATCAATTCTCAACATTCAACATGTTCAATTATGAAGAGGTACATGGGTATTTATAGATGCATAAAATAAATCTAAGCCTAATAGATCTAGATTTACTAATTTAATAATTAAAAGCAACATAGTAATAAAATCCTAATATACAAAAACTACTAATGCTTGGCTTGCACTCCAAGAATTTCTAGAAGCTTAAGTCTTTCGCACGCCTCAAACCCTCGGTTGCTTTATGCGCACGCGCCGCCCTTCGGGCTTTCCTAATCCTTGGCGCGCGAGGCATCGCGCGCCTCGT